GTTTTTATTTTGTTTTGGATTGGTTCCTGGTTGGGTTTCATATTCTATTTCTTAATTGGTATTTTTGGGAATAGAAATCTCTTATATTGATTTTCTGAGAATGAGTCACGAAATTGATCGATCAATCTTGTCGGGTTTCGTGGGAAATTACTTTCTTGAATGGATTATATGTGGTACAGGATCGTATATTCCATCGTAGGATGGATTTGTCATAAAAGAAAATAAAGGGATGGATTTCTATTTTTCTATTCATTTTCAATGGTCGGTCCATATAATTCATTCTGGTCAAGTGCCTCCGAGCACAAGATGTCGATAGGTCGGGTTGCGAGGCAACCTCTCGATTTAGAATTTTGAGGAAAAGAAATATATATTCATTCTTGGGAATCATCTTCCCCATGTATCTCCATATCTTGGTTTGATAAGATCCAATTTTCAATCGAAATAAATCTAAAATTTTCAAAATTCTCTAGATTCCTATTAGTATATTATCAAAGATGATTTCATCCGAGGGATGGAAGGATATCTTTCCTTATTGGGAATAGAGATCCTAGGGATGATTCAATCAGAGAATACAATATAAATAATTTATAAAATTTAAAAATCGATAGAATCGGAACCCCACGAATTTTATATGGATTTCTGGGCTGATATATTCCAAAAATACGAATAAATATTCCGGGAATATTCTAAGAATGGATATTCCAAAGATTCTCTGAATTTAAGAATAAATATTCTAATGGATATTCTAATCATTTAAATTATCCATTCTAGAGAGAAGTTCTAAATTTGAATATTCCAAAAAGGATCTGAAATTGTAGACCTTCCCGGGAAACAACTTTATCTATGAAATTCATTAGATGGGATCACGAATATAGAATCATATCAGAAGAAATAAGAAAAAAAATCCCCCCCACCAAAAATTCCCAATTAGAAATTCATCCATGAAATAGAAGAATTTGAAAAAATGAGAAGAAGAATGATATCATTCCTTTCTTTCTCGATTACCATCTCCATCTCAGACCCACCACAAACAAATATAAATCTAAATGACATTCCTTCAACATTTTAGAATCATGCCATACGACTCCTTCAACATTTAAGAATCATGCCATACGACTTCTAACCGGCCGATACGAAAATAATAAAATTCTAAAATTGAATACCCCAGAAAAATGCTAAACTTAAATCCAAATATTCCAATATAAAGCATTCCAAAGATATTTGAGTGAAGAATCGACCGAGAGAAAAGAAGAATTGCGAATATAAAGAAATATTAAATTTATCAATCTCATAAAGATCTCGTGTAGAATTTCCATATATCATACTAGAAAATTATAATAAATCCTAACGAATCATCTTTTACCTCTGCCTTATATTAATCGACCAATATCATTCTTCATAAAATAACCTCGTAATCTAAATTTTTGAATGATGCTTCTCAGAAAAAAATAAGATTTCATTCATATATATTATCAGAATTCATGAACAGACAAAAAGCTCCATGAAACAATAATAATATAAATAAAATATCGGTTGTTAATGATTCCTCCCAATACCTGAAGGAATAAATCATGATGATACCCAATACCCAAACCCTTGGTGACCCTTGGTGCCATAAGCAGTATACTTCTGAGATCCCAGCCCATCAACCAAACCCCAATGTTTACAAATCAAATCCTAGTTGCTGAGATAATAAGCCACCAAAAAGTGCACACTTTCAATTCATTATAGCATTCAGCTACTAAGAAAATTAAATGCACCCTCAACCCTCAACAATGATTCAGCCCTGCGTGCAACTCCCCGCCCCACCCAGGTCCCAGAACCCTGCAGGCTAGCATGGACCCTTTCCCCGACGAAAAAATGCCCTGTTGGGAGTTTCGCGGCCCGAAAAGCGGGCCTTCTTCTCACCTCAACACTTGCATAGGACCCATTTCTCCAGCCCACGAAAGCCAGACTTTTCGGCTTCGCAGCCGACTACGATCCCCAAAAGCGATTATATTTTGCCCAAGATTGAACTGACGCCTCTTTTTCCCGAGCATTCGCTCATCATCTTTAAGTATTTTAAGTCAAATACGAGGCACCGCCAGAAACACATGAATGGTAACGGAGAAAGCAAGATAAAGCAAGTATGCTTGGGTGATCTGGCAGAGCCGCAATACTTACTAGTTATCCCACCCCCTATGTCTGGAAACCTTCTTATCTGGCAGAGACGGCCCTTCAGGAGTTCAGCACCGCCTGCAAGTCGTCCACGAACATGCCCCTGAACAGAAAGGCACATTTGCTCAAGTAAAGATTCATGGGCTTGACGGCAATGAGGTCTGCATTTGATTGGACCCGGAAGGTGCTGTACCTGGTGGGCTCTTTGATCACATCCTGCAGCTGGGGGCGAACTTCGAAAACTCGTAGAGTCGTAGAGCTTGTGCTGAGGCACCATGCCCTGGCTTCGGTCCTCTAAGTCCTTCATGTACGCCATGGGCCCCCTTGCAAACTTTATCCTGCAGCAAAACTACCCCAGCTTGCGGCATGCAGTGTCTAAACAGCATCGGTGATGAGACACGCTGAGATGTCCACTTCTCGCGTACAGCCCCAGGAAAAAGTGGTGTAAGGATGGAGACTAGCATGCGCGCCAGCCACCTACCGGAGTTTAACTTGAGAACACATAACTGGCTGATGAGTCCCCAATGAGCATGTTCAAGACCAAAGTCCATGAGGACCGCACGGGAGATTCAGCAAAACAGTCGGGCCGGAATAGCCGGGGTACAGCGTCACAGCCTCCGACACGCAAATCGGACACAGCCACGACAACCGTACACTTGGTCACCTTCTTAGAATACTAGAACCATGATGGACAGCAGTGCAGCTGGATAACTACTCTTTACGCAGGTGTCTTTGTAGCTTGCGCTCGTCTGGGAGCTGGACCCGCTTCGCAGAGCCAGTCAGGGCATTCTGGAAGGACTGGTCCTCGGACATTGGCTATCATTCGCTTTTCTCCTCCCTCTGCGGCCGAGCATTCGAGCTGCTGAAGCCGACAAAGGCCCTGAGAGCTGGGCAGGAAACTTGGAAACTCCGGTCAAGTCATTCGCAGAGATCAGCCTGCGCTCGATCTTTATCATCAAACACCTCACTCCTAAAATCTATGCAGGCTGCTCTGGTTGGACAACATGACATGATGCAGGAGCCCCGCATGAGTCGAGGAATCGGCAACAAGTGACGAAAAGTCTGCACGGAAAACATGAAAACAAGTGGATAGACAGATAGACAAGGCCGGCGTGGGACACTATGCCTGGACCCTCCGAAGTAACAACCTTTGGAGAAGCAGATGCTGTGCCTGCACACATGCCCGGTGGCTCGCGTGCGAAGCTCTGCCATTGCCGAGTTCACCTCTCTTGCCTCAGTAACTGGCGGCTTACACAACACTTAATAACATGCGCTGCAGGGACTTGCAATCGGCAGCCAGCATAAATGAAGAACTCCGTCATCTCCTGCGTCTGAAGCGAGCAAGGGTTGGATACGCTCATTCCACTCATTCCTGATGCATACCACGAACGCTCCATGAACTTGAATGCGGACCCGATCTGTGAAGGCTGCGGAGCGAAGGACACAGTGAGGAGAACTTCACAGAGAAGGCAGTAGGGCTCAGCAGACCGAATGTGGACAGAAATTCTGGGTAAAGACTGATGTTAAACACGCAAGCGATGGCGTAACCCACGTTCTTCGCCAACACTCAGCGTCGGCCAGGGCTGTGTTGCCGAGCTCGGCACGGCCCACTTTGCAGCAATCGCCGATGGTGCGACGACATCGCAAGATGTGAAAGATACTCAAACCTTGTCTCGAGAATCCCCTGTCTTTGAGACAGCTGCTGTAGCACTGCTGATCACGATCCAGCTCTTGAACTGAATCGGCGAAAGGATGCCGGTTTGGCGCCCAAATCTTGCAGCCTGGACCCTTTAAATTCAATTTTCAGCCGCCGTGCATTCGTACGAACTGTGACACGAACTGTGCAAAGAAGGACTGCAGTGCCACTTGTACTTACGCATCTGTCCTCTTCCGACACTTCCTTCATCAACTTTTCGCTGTCCTTGTCGCCAGCATGCTTGGGCACGAAATTTCCGTCTGCGACGATCGGATTTAGATCACTTAGATATGCAAAGTTGCGAGCAAAGTATGACAATCCTCTGCAAGCAAGTGGCGATTGTTGATGCGCGGATGCAAGTAACAAGGTCGCCCACCTGCAAAGCCAGAAAACATGGTAGGCACTCCGAAGAGACGTGCTTTACCAGCACGACATTGGATAAAGCTTCTGTACAGCACTTCCCGTCAAAATGCCTTGGTGCTCACCACCACCATCTGAGACGGAGTGATGTACTTTGACACCTGGCGTGAAAGTGGCTAAAGCAATGCTAAAGCAGCTTCAGCCGGATGCATGAAGGTGTTCGAAGCTCTGACGCATGACCGTAATTTTGCTGCCTGCCTTCGCGGCATGTGGTGCCGCCTCGATGCAGGTTCAGATGGGCAACTGCTCATGCGATTGAGATGCGTTTGAGAGACGAAGAGGTACAAGAAGTGTGATGACGCTGCATGAGCCCAAGGCTTCCAGCACGGGCGTGTTATCCCAGCCGCCGCCTTCTTGGGCCTCTCATGACGTAGCTTGCTGACATGAGGGAATGTCGGGGTTGCCCACATGAGAGCACCTGCTGCTGGCCGCATGCAACGCATGCATCACTGCATCTAGGCAATGGCAGGCACTTGGCTCGTGTCTTTTCACTTGCGGCCAGTGGTTGTCCTCCAGGGGTGGCCTCATTTGCAGAAGAACTTCAAACACACCAGCATGTAGGAGGGCCGGGCGGTAGGTCAAGGCTTAGAGTGGCTGACAGCCGCGGCCTCCTGCGTGAGCCGAGGCCAACTGGAAAGTCTCCTCACACAGAACTTGAGTCTTAAACCCAATCGCAGCTTTCTCGAAGAACATCTTAAGCGCAACAGTAAGCACCCTAAACCCTACACCGAAAACCCGAAACCCATGAAGGAATCAAGAGAGCGACGGCCTGGCTCAACTCGTTTTCGGACTGTCTCTGGCTGCTTGAGACTCCAGACCCTGCCATGCTTGCAGACAGACACAGACGAGCACAAAACGCACACTTCATCGTGACTCAATGTAAGCTGGATATTCATTCTGTATGCGCGCCATCGCGCGCTCCCACGCGTTCTCCTACACCGTGCCCTCTGCCAGTGCACAGGGAAGGGAACATCTGCAAAAGGTGCCGGTTTCACGAGCGCACCACTCGCGTGCAGCACCTCCATCAGAGAGCACAGGGATGCTCATGGAATCTCATGGTGGCCAGTGATCTTCAACATTCTTCAACTCCGCAGCGTCGGGCCTAACGACAGCACGCCAGCAGTCAACAGCAAAGCAGTGTAGTACAGGTTTGACCACCACGGAGACTCCAGCGCCGGAGGCGTGACGTGGATGCTGGGCAGGTGCTTGGAGTCCTTCTCCTGCCCAAACATAGCGAGTGTAAACATGTGACAAGATGTTTGAAAGCATGTGAAAACACAGAACAAGCGGATTTGATGCTGGTCCTTGGGGAGATCTCGCGACTTAATTTCCATAGGTACCGTCTGCTGAAGTCTTGCTGTTGGGGCAGTAAAAGTCTTCGAGCGAAGGGCAGGCGCACATTCACTGCACTGGCTGGAGATGCTTTGTCCAGGCAGCACCTCAGCTTGGCAAAATGATGTTGACATACGTTGATGCTGGTGAGGGTAGTAATCATTGTAGGCATTACCATGGCCTCTGCTTGTCCGCATGACTTTCTGAAAGGACATGAAACTGCATTTTTCCAGCGCTTCATGAAGTCGTCGCTCAAGTTCTGGGAGTCTGCGTGCTGGCCAGGCTTCTGGAAGGTTTTGCAGCCAGTCTGTGAGCAGAAGGCCAGAAGAAGGAATGTCATTCTTCTTCCCGCGCAGGTTCGTTGTGAAGAGCTCCTGTTTCTGGACTTCACAAGTGACCATGAAGTGGGATCCCACAAGTGTTGTGCTCAGTCGAAAGGATTCCATCTAGCAAACCTTCACGGGCAGGAAGTAGTTCGAACCACCAGATATCAAGTAGGTCACCTTTGGCAACTTCAGGAAGAAGAGTCAACATTGCTCCATGAAGGGTCGTATGTGACGAAGCTGAGCAGCGAACAAACGCAGGATGCTTGTTGTAGGACTCCAGTGTGTCCATGAGCTTGGACTCCCAATCTGCAGCTGTGGCTCGCTCCGTCATCATGTTGGCCATGCAGACCGCGTTGTAGAAGCGGATCCTAGGACATGGGGCACGATGGGAAGAGTGCATGGGGAGTGCAAGGTCACTTGAAGTCGTAGCATCTTGTGTAGCCTGTAAAAAGACAGTCTGAGAAAGACGACTGGTCAGACTGGCGGCTGCATGACATCCTGCTGGCTGGTGATAGCAGCAATGGCCACATGCGGGTGATCTGAAGAAAGCTGATGAACCACATCCTGCCGTCATGGCTCGCGCCAGAAACAGGGCGTCAAGCGCAATGCGTCGACATGCCACGATCTAGAAGTACCACTTGCGACGACGCGAGTCACACTCTTTTTTGAGAGGGGGAATGCCCGGGGAATGCCATGAATGCCGCCTCTCCTGCATGGTCAGCTGCTGGGACAAGCACCGCGTCTTCAGCCCCGGAGAAGGATCCAGGAGGCCGGTCTTGCACAGCCCGAAGCCTCTGCAGTTTTGCGGTGGAAAGGTTAATAGCTCAACAGGAGAGTATCAAAACGAGTGTTCAGGAGCAACGAGTGCACCTGCCAGAAGCGGACCCTGCGCATGCTCCGGGAAGATACCAAGAGCTGAGTCGCTGAGCACGGCTGCGGCTTGGTAGCCTTCAGGTTTTTGCTCGTGGTGTAGCAGCCACTACATCGTTATACCGTCCTAACTCGAGCCCGGGGTACTCTTTTACAGACACAAGATTGAAAATATCTGAAAGACATTGAGAAACTGAGGTCGACACGGAAGCTTCCAAGCAGAGTGGCAGCCCAGATTTGGGCGCCTAACGCGCCGGTGGAAGAACCGGCAATGACCAAAGAGCTCAGCATCCCGTCCACATTTCCCACGTTTCTCCTCACAAGAACTGAAGGAGATCTGCTTTAAGTCCGTTTCGCCTTGGCGCATGAGAACTAAGAGTCCTCGCCCAGTTGATGGCAGACAATGCATTCACGAACCCTTTCTGCTCAACACGTTGACCAGCCGCATCGAGATACCATCTCACCACATCACCTCAGATGAGTACCGCGTCCTTCCCTGAAAGCCCAAAAGTTGCTGCTGTACTCGGCAGATGATTACTTGCCAGATCCGCCGCGTTGAAGCTGCGACAAATGCGACATGGTTTACGACATGGCGTCACCACGTATCCCAATGGCTGCACCAAGAAGCCTATGTGCAAGTCTCCACTGCAGTAGTTGATATGGACCTCACTGACGGCACTAATGGGGAAATCGCGCACAGAACCGCAACGCCCAGCGCACCTGATGGCACCTGGGGCACCCGGCAATCGTGTACTTGCGATACGGGTTGGCAGGGTGCTCGCGGTCGAAGATTCCCACGAGAGGCTGCACGACCAAGTGGGACAGGCAGGGCGGAGCCTTAACTCGCCAAGCAGTTGACACCACTCATCCACCCCTCTTATTTGCCGAGAACTCGGGCTCTCTGAACCCTGAAGGAACAGTACTGCAGCTGGCGAGAAGCTGTCTGGGTGCTTGCATCATTGAAGCAAGCCCCCCCACCCTGGAAGAAGACCAAGAGCTTGTCAGTATCTCCAGGTATCACCTGCTGAGCAGTTTTATGTTGCTATCGACTAGCATGAACAGAAGGAGACATGCGCCAGCCTGCAGCCTACACTTACTATCACAGGCTGGCCTGAAAGGCGTACTCAGATTCGACGTTGCTGAAGATGCAGCGGCTTTGGCTGCCTGGAGTTCAACCAACCTACTCAATGTGGAGCTTGAAAGCGGGACGGTATGAGTTCTATTGGAGTGGTACCGTAGCAGTGTCTCAGAGCTCTTCCTTTCACGCAGTGCCTGGAACAACTAATGTTGTCGTATCGCGTGGCATCTCGCGCATTGCACAGCTGCCCTGTTCCAAGCGACATCTGGCTGGGCCTTGGCTCAGGGCTTACAGGCTCTCTCATGCACCACATGCATCCCTACCGGCCCTACCGCCTCCCCCATTTCACATCCTTCGACTGCCGCCAAAAGAGCCAGATTCTGGCTCACCGGACACCAGGGCTGACAACAGCAGCACATAGCAGCACGCTCTGTGCTTCAAAGGGCATGGCGACCGTCCAGCAGGCATCTACGCCTGAGTCATCCTAAGTGACACCCGGGGTTCCCGGTTCACTGGCTCAGGCCCTGCTGGCGACTGCAGCCTAAGCGATGTTATGTGGCATTCTTGGCATTTTGCTAGAGACTTGGTTTGTCGCAACTGCATCATTGCTTGAATACCCAGAGTTGACATTTAATTTAAATTGCGGGCAGTGTGTCGGTTGAATATGTTAGCTCATGTTAGCTCCGAGCAGAGCTTTGGGGTTAGCAGGGCTTGGTTTGGGTTCTTGACGACCAAGTTCCGCATCTATTTCTTGTTATTGTTGTGCGTGACAGGTGTTCCTGCACTTGAGAAGGCAATGAAGCTCAGCACCACGGCTTGAACGCCTACCGTACCGTAAAGGCTCTTAGGCAAATCATGGCAAGCTCGGCCGTACAAGTTGTTGCGTAGTCTCTCAACAGTCCCTAAACGAAACCTGCTGCTTGCAGCTTGCACTACTTTCAAGCAAATGCCTTCGGGCCTTAGCAATGGCCTCCGTGGCTGCTTTGACAATGCCTGCCCCTTCACCTGTCAATATCTCGCTGGTTCATTGGTCACGCACTTTACCGACTAGACAAATCTTTGCTGGTGGACGCCTTGCCGCCACTTCACAACTTCTGCGACCTGCACGTAAGTGCTTGGGCTCAATAGGAGAGCACTCGAGGAGCTAGAAGCGAGGCAGCGAGACGTTGGCTGCAGCATCGCTGGGAGAATCTGGGTGCTGCAAGGCATAGCCTCGAAAACTGCCAGCTCGAAAGGTTCTGTAAGAGCTCAATGGAGTTCACGACTAGGATGCCGTGGGTCAAACATGCTCAAAGTCAGCACGCTCAGCATGCCACGGAGGAGCTTGACGTCGTCAAAATCCTCTGGCAGGTCCTGGGCGAAAAGAAGCAACTCTGCCAACGAAACCTCCAAATCAAAGTCCAGGCCTTGCAAAGCTTGCGAATCTCCGCAACCTTGAACCAGGCAAGCTTTAATGTACATGGCGACGTAGCACGGGTCAACTGGCTTGCAAGATCAGATCTGGCTCTTCCGCCTGGGGAGCAAATTTCTTGCTCACGGCATCCAGAGACCAGTCCTAAACAAATCGCATCGAAAGCTCATGCACACTGATGAGGCTTTGATGAGGCATGCAGCCAATGACAGTCCTCCACCTCTTCCGCTTTTCTGCCTCAGTACAGCAGTGCAGTAATTAGACCACATCCATACTTTCATGAGGGCATGAGCCATCACCATCTGTCGCAAGTGCAAGCACCACTTCCCGAAACTTGGCCACCCGCCGACCAGTTTCGCCCGCTTCGCGGCCGAGGCCTGTGGAAGAGACTGGTGCAGGAGAGTTTAAGGAGTCAAAGCCCCTTCAGATTAGAGATTCCGGGACCTAGTGATTAAGGAACCAACCTACACTGGACTTTCTAGCGTCTTTCATCCATCCAAACCCCCAAAGCCCTCCAGGGCCGATTGAGGGCTTCTTCTTACCACGTTGGAACTCCAAGAGCTCTGTGGGGCGGGGGGGGGGGGGATCGTTGTTCACGGCTTTTGGAGGCCCCACTTAGGAGCCCCACCATCGCCAGCGCAGCAAGGCCGCCAGCTGTGAGGAACGAGGCCGTTGAGGAGGAGGCGGCCGCCTGATAGAGCTAGGGTTTAGGGTTTATAATCTGTATAGGTTTTGAAGGGTTTATAGGGTTTAGGGCTCAGGGCGACGAGCGTCAGGTTTCGGGGTTCAGGGCTTAGGGACAAGCATCAAACGAGCAGGAGTAAGCGATAGCCCTGAACTGGAAGCCGACAGCTGCCCAAGCAGGCAACAATGTCCCCAAGAACCTCCTGGGCGCTCGAAATCTGAAAGGCCCGAACTTCCAATTCAGGCAGGTGCATTGACGGGGCCCTTGATGCCTCTGCACCAGGCAAGGGCATTCGCGTACTGCTGCTGGGCGGCATCGGTCTGCAAATCGCAAGATGAAAGTCTCGGTCTGCGCTTGGTCTGCACAAAAGTGACTCAATTCAGTTCTCCGAGTCGAAGCTTTTTGCATTCCGCGCACAGCCCAGGCAACAAACAAGGTTCGAGCATCTCGGGCACAGAGCCTGCTCTGCGGAGACACCCCAAGGGCAAAGCTCAAGTTCCACCCGCAAGCCCTGGCACAAGTCGTGAGTCAAGAAGAAGAAGAAGAAGCTTGCCCAAAACATTCTCTCAACTGAGATGTCAATTCGGCAGAATTGTGCAAGCTGGGCCATGCCAGCAGTAGAATGGGCGCAACCAATAATAGCCCTGCTGGCCTGAACACAGGTCTTGCTGGATGTCTGTTCGCCACTCTCACTCTAACAAGACTTTTCGGCATTTGTGGCGACCGGAATAGTGTCTTAGTCCCAACTCGATTTGTTTACCTGTGACGGTATTCGTTAAGATTGATCCGAAATGAGTGGCTTCGTTCCCTCAACACTCCAAGCAAGCGTGCGCTTGCAGCAAGCCGTTCTGCGGTTTAGCGCTTTCTCTTAGTCTTGGGTTGCTCTACCGCCTGCCTGGCGCCACGATGCCTGGCCTTCACCGCCATGGCCTCGGAACAATCCGAATCCAGAGGTCAGGATATCAGGGGTTGAGACCACAATTCGCACGCTCTGAAACAACACATCTTCGGGCCCGATCGTCGCTAGACGTTCGCGAGACTCCTGCGTTGATTTCACAGCAATAGTAGCAGAATGTAGGGGCCCGACTCAACTCAATCGCCGCAGCGCTTGAATGCGGGAAGCACTTGGGCACCGTTGAGCAGCGAAAGAAGTTAGGCCAACGAGTTGAACATTCGCAAATACAAGAACTCCTCTACCTGGACTCCTTACCGCAGCCGTCCGCACGGTGTTCACTCTACCATCTCACATGCCTCTTTTGTTGATGCCGTCCTGTCGACGGCTCACGATGAGACGTCACTATACTCATCTCCTACTCTGCTCAGTCAATCTCTCAGAGATGACCTGTGGTCAGATGGTTGCAGTAAGGATGTTCCACTGCAAGCGCCCGTTTTGCCAAAACCAAGTACGGCTTCCACATGTTGCAGCTGGCAGATTTTCCTCGCGGCTGTGCTGCAGATGTGGCTGGACCGTGCTGGACTCAACCTTTATGTACAGACTTCCAACCTCTCTGCAGCTAAACAAAGCTATTTACCTTTCGGCGACGGAATGCTGGCTTCTTGCATGCATGGCCTGCTACATCATGGATGTGCCAAACTGCTCAGCCGCTCGGCCACCAAGCGAGTGCTTGGTGAAAGAGATACTAGTAAGGGTTTATTTTGACTAAATCAATTGATCCGGAGCGCTCTCAGCTGCTGCTTGAACGCCTGCCTCGGCAACTTGGGGCAGCGCCACTGCCTCAGCAGGACGAGTTAGAGCTGCTGCTCTCTGCAGACAGAATGCACCTCTCTGTCACGGGAATCCTCAGGACAGCTCGCTTTTGGAGCTCACGTTCTCCACCTTCGCCAGAAAAGTAGGACTGTCGTGACTCGCCTGAGTGAGAGCGTCATGGACTGGGCTGCAGGACATGAAAGCCATTGAAAGCCATCGGTAAGGACGAGCAGCTGACCCATGCGGCTCCACTTTTACATCGTGTTTGTTTCGATGCAAGGTAAAGAAGGCGTAGAGAAGAGTTGCAGCGCTGCTGATGTAAGCAGGGAGCTCGGCCTCTTGGCAGTACACCACATACAATGACATACACCCGCTGCTGATGCGCTTGTGCACTCTAGTCTGAGCAAGCAATCATGACACAGCACTTTGTTTTGTACAAACTGTAGAAGTGGATTGCCGTCCGTTCAGGCGAGCGCCTTCTCGTGGTTGTCCACAAGCCACATGTCGAACTGTCCATGGAAGTGGCGCATCTTGAGCACAGAGGAACCGATCTCTCGACGCGAGGTTGTGTTCCGCAGGGTCATCGATTCGAAGCCATTCTGTGTTTCCTCGGCGACGGCAACCAGGGTGTTCCCTTTGTAGATCTTGTAGCCTGAGCTTGATGCCCTCCAAGTTTCCGGCTGTAGAAAGAGTTTGGGGAACTTTTGGGCAAAATGTTCATAGGACAGTCGAGAGGCTCATGGCCTGGTTCATACCCAGCCACCTCGCGTTGCAAGTCTTCACTCGACCCGAAGTTGCCTATGACCTGCCACTACAAATCCCTCGGAATGGTCCGAGGGCGTGAGCTGTGACGAAAGACTTGCGGCCGGGCTTTTAGTTTTTCGACCAAGCAGCCTTCTGAAGCGATTCGCAAAGAAGTTCGACCCTTCTGAAAAGGTATAGACATCTCCGAGTCCATCGCAGCGCTCAATCACATGACACTGCCCCAGTCGGAGGAGCTTCCGTCTCATCATGATAGTGGGCTGTGAATTTGCAACGTCCTTGCAACTTGCTTCTTTGCCAAACTGATGACGAGCACGTGCAACCAGCGTGGACAGAACAAAGCACAAGGCTGGGGAGTTGCCGACCGTCCTCGTAGACATACGTGTTAAACAATGGCCCCATGGTCCGCCACCATGTGCCAACAGGTGCGCCAGCCACGCTGGAGGCCTCCATGCCAAAAGTACTGAAAGTGCGGCTGTTCTCTTTTGTTCGCTCTCTCTCTTTCTTTCATTCTTTCTTTATTTATTTTGCTTTTCCTCCTCTCTGTCTCCCTCTCTCTCTCTCTCTCTCTGTGCACGCTTGGCCCCTCGAAAGACTGCGCTAACTCTCTCTCTGCGCGCTTAGGCCCCCCCCCCGGAGAAAGAGCTGCCCCGAGGGGCACAAGTCCCAAGAGTCAGTCGGGCAAGGGCTGCGATGTTCGCAGCCGTGTCTTTCGCTCTCTCTCGCTCTCTCTCCCTCTCCTAGGGGGCCGCACCTTATTATGGTTTCGCTTCTTCTTCTTCTGCTGCACAGCGAAAAGGAACCTCTTTTACGCTCTCTCTCTCTCTCTCTCTCCTGGTGGTTGAAGACGAGTAGAAAGAAATCCTGTGGTTACATGTACACACTGGGAGGGTGTGCCCGTTCCGTGACATCTCGCATGCTTGTAAGACTGTGATATAATATACGTCGGACCTTTGCACCTTCTTCTTTAATTGGGCTCCCAATCCGCAAACGAGCCACGTCTGTCCATTTCTATTCTATTTCTGTTTGGATGTCTATTTCTATGTGCATGTGCGGGTGCGTGTGCGTGTGCGCAGGCTGGCGTGCATGCGTGCGTGTGTTCCTCCCGGGTTACCGGGTTGGTGTGGAAGGAACTTCCCCGTCGGTATCTGAGGCAATGCATGTTAGCTAGCTCCGACTGCTCAGCCCGGAGTCACAAGCATGGTGGTGGAAAGCCGTTAAGCCTTGCATTGCAACTCCTTGTCTCAATGAGTTCTTTACTGATCTTTACTGCGCGTGGGACCTCATTGGAAGGGATGACGTCGAAGGCGTCTCCATACCACATCGGCTTCCGCTCCGCCAGCAAGGAGATGATGGGAATCAGATTCACGTCGGGACCCCCTGAAATTGCGGCTTTGCTGCTCCGGCTGAGTATTGTATAGTATTGTACCCTTCAGCCCTGTCTCTCTTTAGCGGCTTTCAAGGGCCCAGGTAAACATTTTGGATGCCGGAAGGTTCGTGAAGGAAACGTATGGGAAAAGGACTCGGCTCATATACATAGATGGCATGCAGCTTATCCACAGTGTCTAGTTGAGAAATGCGGCTCAATTGCAACCCAGGCTCCAGCTGCGTTAGTGCCTCCTCCTGGATATGGATAGTCATCGCCAAGTTTCGCAGGCTTGCAGCCAATAGTCGCGTACTCATAAACGATTCCTTGAACAGCCCAGGCCAGCACAAAGACGACGACCAGAGCCTTGCACGCCAGAAGCTGCTACGGCATGCGGCAGAAGGCTGAATTCATGAAACCTCCTGGCATCACGTGTTTCGTGTCAGTCTGCCTGCTTATACTTTGCATGCAAGGCTCCAACACCAGCCACTTGCCAAGAGTCTTACACGCACTCTTCACCCAGTGCTTGCAGGAGGATTCCTGGCATGAGCTGCATCAACTCGGTTTAGGGCAGTTGGGCATCGTGCCACCACGAGTTGCTTCTCTAACCTTGTATCAGAACCTCTTAACTTCATAACTTCATAACTTTGCAGCATTCTGGTATACTAGGAGACATCTGGGCAGACGGGGGCCCACATGAACACATACAAACTCAATCATTCGTTCTGTCAACTTCCCACTTGTACAGCGGGCAGCCCTGCTCTCATCCACTTTGCCTCCGGGCGCCTTCCCCCCCGGGAACGCTGTCGATCCACGACCCCAAAGAGTCCCAGCCAAAATTTTCCCCCAAGTAAACGCAACGCGAAACGGCGCACATGTTTTCCACCATGAATTGGAAGAAGCCTTTCCCCGAAGGAACACAGATTTCATGCGGTTTTTTGCAACCTTCCACATGCACCAAAAACATGCCAAACACCATGAAAACGCAGCGAAACGATGCGTCTACGACATCATACTTTGCACGAAGACCATGTCAAGCACCGTCTACACAGCAACTAATTGCACACCACACCCGAAAATTGTACAACGCAGTGATGTTTGAGCCGCCCACACCCGAAAATCGCGCACCGAGCGTTGATTTCCGAGCCCCGCCCACAACCGAAAATCGCCTAGCCGCCAGTCTGTTTAACATCGTTGCAGTCACTGGGGAGAAGAAGATGCACAAGTCGCTGCCGCTTGCGTTTGCTTGGGGGAAACGACCACGGATGTAACCTCATCATGTACAGAGGAGTACTTCGGATCAGTGTTCCTTCGAAATTTACATACTTTCGCAACGAATTCACAGCTTTTGGTAGCTGTAAATCCATGCGTTCATTGGGGGAAGGGGTGGACCTCGTCAACTTCATGATTCCTCTGCGTTCACTGAGGTTTCAGGTTCCTCAGGCCAAAACGGTCAACTTTCCCGCGTCACGCAAAGGGTGCACCATTGCGTGTGCATAGTACCCTTAAGTACTTGGCGCTCGGCTGGAAACAGCGACCACTGCTTACGCGCTACTTACGCGAACCAGATGAACCCTACGCCGCCAAAAAGGGTAGTGTGCTCGAAGACCAACCTGAGCCCGCCGGGTCTGCGATGGGTTCGGCCTCAATACGCCCCAGGGGTCGGAAGTAATCAATGACCCCAATTCAGAAACCGCAGTAACCCTCCAGGGTAGCCATCCCAGATTCCCGCACAAACTGAGGGTATGCCTGAAATACAGGCGAGCCATCTGGGTTAAAACCCAGGACACATGCAAGTGATTGCTTTGACGAGGATTGAAATCTGAAATCAATCTCAAGCCGCCGGTTGCAGCAGATGCAATGAGTACTTAACTTGAAAGTGATCGGAACTCTGATCAAAGCGAGACTGAGACAAGCAACATCAGTCTGTGAGTGGCTTTTTAATACAAACGACTCATGCATTCTGGAAACCTGCATCGCCTGCCTGTGGTTCCTCCTGGAGCAAAGGCTGCTCAGAAGCCATCCTGCTAGCCTGCAGGACGCAGCAAGTTGCCGCGTCACCCTTCGGGCCAAGATGGCTAGAGGCCACACGGACAGGCTTGTATGCTTCATCAGGGCGTTGCAATTGTATGGTGCTCTGCCGCACGTCAGCCACTTCGCACAGAATTTTCAGGGCCCAACTCCATGCAGGTACGTCCCTGGCAGACTTACGCAGCAGTCAGCGAAACAGAGTCATCCACACGTGCCAATTGCACCATGTCGCATGGAAACTTCAAGTGCTTGCAGAGGCATGCGCCAATGACAAGTATATCGCATCTTCACCACATCGCCATGAGCACATGCCCAAAACATGCCGGACAAGCCAAAGATGCTCGCAGTCTCAGAAAACTTCTGAACCTCACGTCATGCCAAGGAGGCCTTTTGGCACTTTGCGTGTCCATCCAGCATGCAAATCCCCAAAAGGACCCTGGCCCTGACCGGCAAGCCATCACAGCCGGAACCTGAAAATGTCCGAGCCCCTCAGGCTTCACTGGCTTGCCAAGATGGCGGCGGTCTGCTGTACAGAATCTGCCAAATTGGAGAAGTCCTGTGGAATTGAATTTCCGCATATAGCAATCGGGCCATGAGCGCATCACAGCGCAATGGCCTCCGATTCTTCCTCGCCAACCGCGGCTGATCTTGGGACTCTCGGGGCCTGATGGCTTGACGGCTCCAGGACCAAGCAGAGACATCAATGATCATCCATGTGAGTGGAAATCAAACGCACAAAGGCTGTGATGGCCCAGCCGGCCTCCTGTGCGACGCTTGCCAAGGCCCTGAACTCTGACCTCACACCCCGAAGTCGATGTGACAGTTGTGTCCTTCAGTCCTTTGTCCTCTCAGCGATCTCATCAAGCTGAGGTTCACACGCAGTCTCCATGGGAGTTTGCTTGCAGAACCTTCGCAGTGCGTGACACAATCCAGGCGCGTGCAACTGGCGAAGCCGGGCCCGGGCACACTCCCTCCCGTAAACCAGGGGGGCGCACGCACAAGCAGCTGCCAACGTCTCCTCCATGATGGGGCCGAACTGCATAACCTCACTTGCTGCTGGAGCGAGTGATCTCAGGCCCTTCAGAACATGTACAGACTAGGCCACAAGCTGTGATGTTTGGATCTTCCTGCTTGCGACCTCGCCAGTTCGAGTGCAGGCCTCAAACACATGGGTCTTGACTGACGGCCGATGGCCATCGATGACAGAAAACGATGGCTGCTGTCAACATAATTTGCATTTGCATGATTTTGCAGTGCACTCGCTGTCATTCAGAGAGATGCGCTGCGGCAGAGCTCCCAGCGTGACATCACCTTGACACGTGCAGGTATGAAGGTAAAGCATGGTAAAGCAACTAGATCAGTCAACGGATGCACAGCTTTATCGCACGGGCTGGATCACATCAAGGTCTTCATCCTCTCCTGTGAACCAAAATGCACACCCTCTGGGGTGTGCACAGCAGCATGCAGCTCACAAAAGGGCCTCACAGGCTGACAATGGCTGACAGATGGCTTGATTCTACACTGAGTAGTATGAGTAGTGATGTTCAACTTCTCATCGCTCAGCCTAGTTGTTTGCACTATTAGCAGGCACGCAGTGCGGCAGCATCACAAGCTCAGGCCAAGGACTCAATGGAAGGCTCTTTGCACTTTGACTGGTTGTCGAGCCGCTGCCTTCGGTTGCACCGGAGTTGAACATTCATGCGCTTTTTCTGGCCAGCGATGCGAGGCTGGTCACAATGCCCGCACACACAAGCACATCAAGTACACAATAGCACACCAGCCGTCCGCTCCTGGAGCTCAGCAGCAGCCTTCAGAGTGCTGCGGAATGCGTTGCTACTTCGGAGGTCTCTTGATGCGTAGACTGAGACAGCACTGAATGATTCAGTGAACGTGCGATCATTGCACACTTTGCCTTGAAAATCTGTGAACCACTCGGTTTGATGCCACGTCCATCCCCGGGCCTTGGACTGCTCGAGCAGAGTCAGTGCAGTTCGGGTTGAGCATTTTTGAGTTTTTTTGGGGGGGGGGTCTTCTCAACACACACAGACTGAGAAAAATGGTCACAGACTGAGAAATTTGTCAAGGTTTGACCATATCTAGACATCGTATCTTCCAAGCGGAAAGAGAACTTTTTCTGCTGTAAAGAATCCATTGCTACCATTGACAATCGAAGCGAACCATGACATGTCACTGCCAAGGTGCAGCCCAAACCGTCCTTGACGAGCTGCAAATACCTCAGAGCAGAAGCTTGACCTTGTGCTGGATTCAGCTACACTGCAACTACATGCAACTACACACGAAGGGCAGGGCCTAGCCAAGTGTTGGGTGATGTTGATGCTCGCAACGGCAAACGGATAGTCGATCCCATCACTTTGGGCCTGGAGTCCGGCTTCACCCCGCATCCGTGGCAGAGCGAATGTCGCACTATACAGGCTATGTCCGAGCCTCACGGACCATTTGGCTCGTGGCCAAGGGATACCTGCCGTCAATGCGGCACTTTCACATGAAACTATCTAGGCGCCGGGTCCCATGGGCCCTTCTCCACCCTTTCTGTGCTCAGACCAACGCTTTGTGTATTGCCGCGGGGCTGCAAATCAGGCTCGGGAGCGATGTTGTATATGTTTCCGAGACTTAAAGGTTGGCATCGATTGGGGCGTGCGTGGTTGAGGCGAACGGCTTCCTGTGTCCCGCTTCGAGAGCAAAGCCTGAGTAATTCGAGCTCTTGAGGCTTGCGCACGTATGGGACGTCCTTCAGAAAAACAGCTTTGGAATTGACAGGGGAAGCTGGAGTAGTCTCAGAAATCTTGCAAGCACTCGCATGCTTTGTCTTTCTTGGAAGCTCTTCCATCGCAACGTCACATGCACTTTGTGTCGTTTGAGCCACAGACAGGACGCCAAGCCAGACCAAGCTCATCATGCCGGGTGGGATCTGCACGTTTGTCCCCAAACTTGACACCCCCAAAATAGAAAGTGACACCACCAACTATCCCGAAAAGTGCAGGATCCGAAGGTAGCTGATTGAATCATACCAGACCATTGTTTTAGAGACTTTATCCACTTCTTGGCTGGCCTCTCTGCCATATGGACGAGGCAGTCCAACCTCGCTTTCCCAACACTGATCACACATGCACCGGTGCGCCCCCGTGGATGCTCGTCACCTCTGAGACAAAGCAAAAAATGTTTGCTGATGTTGAAACCCATCTCTTGAGCTGCCGGCGCCAATATTCCCGTGCGAAGATCTGTGCGAGGATCACAAGACTGAAAGCCAAGCTGTCTCCACCTCAAGCCATGCGACGTGGTATCATTGAAGGTTCCTGTGGAGATGACAGACAGGTGTAGGTGTAAGCCAGCCATACAGGCATGATGGCTTCATGCAGCACATGTGCATTTGAAATCTCTTATTGCACCTCGGGGATGTGGAGCCGAATCCAGCAATGGACTCCACAGGACAAGGACCTGAATAGCCCTAGAATAGCATGGACATGACATGGAAACTGCTCCGCAGAATCCACAGACAGCGCCTCCACAATCGGGGCCCAAGCGTGATTGCGCAGATGCCACCAGTGCTACACCTGATTTGTTTGGAGTTCTTCGAAGTTGTTCAAATTTGTTCAAAGGACTGGCAGAGGTGACCATTGTAAGCTACATGCAAGCATTGTCGGCCCCAAGGCTCGGCCCAAGCCCTGAGGTCCACCGTCCCTGCATTGGACCCTACATCTCGAAGTTCAGGTTCCGCGTGGCAAAGGGATGCAAAGGGCTTGATCTCACTGCACCCAGCAGACTCCGTAGACGCCTCCTTGCCACCTAGCGAGGCAATAATTGATGTATCCGTTGCTTGGTACTCGGCTGAGGCTTCTTGTGCTGGAAGAGTGCACCAACTCATGTGTAGAGCCAAGTACTTGAGGCATACTTGAGGCAACTTGCGCCCAGGGAGGGGGGGACGAAAGGCGGCCGAGCAGTCAACATCTGTCACGCAGGCAACGATGGGAAATCATGATCTTCAGCGATGCCCGACATCTAAACGCTTCAATCTCCCAACGGTCTCATGCAACCGGAAAACTGCCTACGAGGAGGAGACAACATACCGATACAGCATCTAACCTTGCCCTGGGCCACGATTTGAGTGGGGATTGGCCCCTGGCGGACCAAATGGCGGACCAAACCGGCACCCCCTGACACCGTTTCAGCGAAGCTGTTCTTTGAACGAAAGCTCCCCCCCCCCCCCCCCCCCCCCCAGGAGCTTTCCTAATCTGTCGCACAAGTGAACTCAAAGGATTGCGGCCGAGCCTGCAATTCTTTCACAAAAACCTTATAAATCATATTCCCGCCAAGCCAGACAACTCCAAGCCATTGGCCAATAAACGCCCGAGCAGGAGCGACTTGGGCGATGGCTGAGGCGCTGCAGTAGGCTCTCGAGCTCTGACGCCTCTTGCGCCTTGCGAAAGCGAAATACGACAAACTCCAACCCGATCCATGCATCGGTAGAACTCATTCTTGTGACCATGTCATCATGTTTTGCCATGTCGTCCTGCTGGACCACGGGACGCCTCTATTACCCCTATTCAGACCTGGACACTCTGAGCACCTTTTCGTTGGCGCGAGCTTTCAAGGCCAGCAGAGCTTCACGCCTTGCAACATGAAGGACGTCTGATAGGCTTGTCAGCCCAAACGAGCAGTTGCTTTTGCAATGTGTTAGGACATGGCACGGTGCCCTTTTCTCCGGCTGACCTCTAAGGTCATCTGCGAGTCTTTTCCCCAAGTTGATCAGCGGCTTGAAAATTTGCCACCTGCAGCATCGCCACGATTGTGCTGTGGCATCTTTGCAGGAAGCAGAGCCACTGATTTCGCTTGAAACAGCGTTAAACAACTTGTCTCCATGCTCGAGATGGCTCCTGTACTATGGGGTATTGGTGCCCAAGAACTCATTGACACGTTCGACAACAAAGCCTTGCACAAAATCATCTGCTGAGTCACTGCACAATCACTTCGAAACCGGACAAAAGTGCACCTGGGCAGCAACATTCACATCTACCGAAGCTTGGCTGTCGGTCAGGACTCGAGAAATGAGTATCAGTGACTATAGGCCACATTCCACATTGCACATTGGCAATCCAAAGTGGACAGCGCGTCCAGAAAGATTTCTCTGGAGGGGAGGTGTCTGCAGACACTCTGCAGGCCGCAAAGCGCCGAATTGCAACTCCACACCTCCTCCAGATCCATACGACGATTGACAGCCAGATCAAGTCACTCTACAAAGTTCGTAAGGCGGCTTGCCAGATGCTTTAGGCTCCGGATGGCACCAGCAGGCTCTGTCAGCGCTGCGGCGTACTCTACATTTGCCAGAATCGTGCCCTCCGACATCTCCTTGTGCAGCTGTAACAGCGCAGCAGCAGCCTTGGACAACAAAAACCAGCGGTCACAGTGGGCTGGTCTTCATGGATAGATGGCAGTGTGCTGCCTATATGTGGTGAGTTCCTACAAGGCCCGTCACACAGCTTTACTTCTGTTTACTTCCCTTGGCTTCTGTCAGACTCCGTGCACACGAGCCCAGCACGGGGCATGTGTTGCCGACCAAGCAGCGGCCTCCTCGAAGAGCGCCTGCAACCACAAGATGCCACAAGCAAGGAACGGTTCTTCGCGTGCAATCGGAGCTCCGATTCTGCGAACTATGGCACTGTGGGAGCTCATCCGAGGTGATGAGCTGTTCCGCCACATGCCCACGTGCACATGTGCAGACAAGGCGCAGAGTGAAATTTGCTGCAAGCAGACAAGCTGAAAGAGTCCACGAGCGAAGCATGTGGCCAGCGAGGATGTGGATGGTTCATGGCCGGGAGTCCCGGGACTTGCTCAGCAAGCTTGCGCCTGAGAGTGGCAGATGCTCAATGACTCTTCAAAGTGGCACAGTACTTGATCATCAATCTTGATCAGCTCTCAACTCTTCCGCTCTCTCTCTCTCTCTCACTCACCCCTTTTTTCTGCGGCAAGGCTACAGGGTTGTTTTCAGCGTCAGTGGCCAACCTGTTGCCTTCAAGTGGGGGTTGCGTATGTTGCATATACTGATGCACACTCATCACACGCTCATCAAACGCATCGAGGCGGACAGTAGGACGTGCTCTGTGCCTGGATGGAGGACTGCAGGGCCAAGACTCCTTGCAGGCAAGCATGACAATAGGCATAACAAGAGATGACGCTAGGTACTCGGTAGTTATCGATAGTTGTTAAATGTTGCTAGGTCCACTAGGCATGTTCCTTGTCTCGACATGTGTGGACCTGCTGAGTTGTGAAGGGTTTGCGCTGACATGCTACAACATGTTCAACACATTTTCAACCGTGTTAAAGACGCATCAGCTTTGTCTCCTGGGTGGTTCGCTGGAAGTCCGCCAAAAAGAGCTGACCTCAGCTTTTGCAAGTGTCACTGAGTGAGTAGCTTCCTCGTAGGGTGCGTAAGCGTCGTACAGCAAAAAAATGCTGTCATACTGGTACCAAGTCCATGTGAGGTTCGCGAGGGGAAGTTCTATAGGAAGTTCTGGGACTCTCTTTGTTTCTCGCTTCAGCAAGGCACTTGCAGGGCTACGTTTGGACATGCTGCACCACCCTGGATATGCTTGAGACCATGCAGGTGTACAGTGAGCGTACAAGGAGTCGAGTGTTGAATGCAGAACACATCAGCCAAAGCAACCTGCCAACCGGTGGCGGTTTGGAGACCCACGTTGGAGGCCCCGGTGCATCCTGCGCTGATGTGACAAGACACATTGTGCACTGTTCACGCCCAGGAAACATGCAACAGTACACGGAAGTTCTCATGGCAGGTGTGTGATGGCAAGTCTGTTCTCTGCCTCATCCACACCGATGTCACTGGCTATGTCAATGTCGTCGTCATCTCTATCCTCCTGATGCTTGAAAGTGACACTTCCCTGCCCATCCTCAACTTTCCGCTGCAGCAGCTCTGTGACGCATCATGCTGCAAACTGACCTCTTCCTCAGCGCTGCAAGTTCCGGGATCTGGGACCTGTCCGTCGGCTGTGGAATTTCAGGAACAACTTCGGAGATACTTGCGGTTAGATTATGCGATTAGATTAGAATGATTTGAATCGTGGAGGGTAGCATGATTAGATGAACTTGTTGTTTGCTTACTCCTGACTTTCCGGCGTTTTCATCACAACTAGCTGTTACTTGTTTTTCTCTTGACCCCTCGAAGAAGGGGTAGGCAAAAACCTTGGTTAGCTGCATTTTCTGTGTCTGTGTTTTCTCACGACATCTTTCGGGCTTATCGTTGGCCACCTTTAGCGGGCAACCCAACATCTCCGATTGGGGTTTGGGGCTTACCAACCAACATCTCCTTTTGGGGTTTAAGGCTTGTCACCCCAGCCTGCGTGATGGATGACCTTTTGGGGCTTAGGGTCTGCCACTCGACGGCGCCTTTTAGGGTTCAGGGTTAGATACCCAACATGTTTCCTCTTTCGGGCTTTTCAGGTTTGCCGCCCAATATCTGGTTTTCAGGGCATGGGCTTGCCACATAGGTTTAGGCTAATCGGGTTTGCTACTCACCCAGCATCTTGCTTTGGGGTCTTGAGTTTGCCACAGTCTTGAGGGTTCCGGGCTTGCCACCCAGTTTTTGTTTTGGGAATGCCAACCAAAATGTTCTTTCAGGGGTTCGGGATTGCTACATCTTTGAGCTAAAGGACAGATTGTATTGTTGCTGAACCCAAAGGTGCCGGGGGGGGAGGCTTTCGTGACAACTACGCAAAAAAGAGCATCTTGTCGAGAGAGAAAGAGAGAAAGAGAGAAAGAGAGAAAGAGAGACAGAGAGACAGAGAGACAGAGAGACAGAGAGACAGAGAGACAGAGAGACAGAGAGACAGAGAGACAAAGAGACAGTGAGAGAGCCTCCAGCCGGCGAGCATCCGTGCTTCTCTTATGGCCTCAGAAACGCAAAGACTCAGATTGTGTGACGGTGGAGAGCAGGCGCATCAGACATCTGAGTCTCGCAAGCTGATGCTTGTGTTTGATGGCCCTCGCACATTCTGCGGATGACTTTTTAACAGCTGAATCACGACGGCTCGGAGCTCTCGTGCCATTTTCTGCGTTTTGCAGCATGACAGACGAAGTGACGAAGGCACCATCATATGTGGAAGAGAGGATTGAGCATTCTCGTTTGCCAGGGCTCAATTTCACCTGGCACATACACTCCAGCCTGCGCCTCCTCCATGGTGATCTTGCGCGGCGGAGGAGGAGGGGGAGGAGGGGGAGGTGGGAGAGGCTCCTCTACTTGCGAATGCTCGTTGGCACCCGTCGCCGCTCTGGGCTGCTGATACGAGTCGCCAAAGGGCTGTGAGTCCGAGGCGTTCCTTGCGGCCTGCGTCTTTGGCACGGCCGCCTGTGCGGACTCAGCATTGCTCAGCCCACTTCTCGCAGACGAATCAAGCCCTGGCATAGAAGCTGACTCCTCAGATGTCAAGATGGATGCCAAAACAGTCAAGGGGCGTCATCAAGATCATGCCGTGCAGCAACATGGATCACATCACCCTCCCTCCTTATTTTTGGTTCACCTGTAAAATTGACCGGACGATCCTACCACAGTAATTGCTAGCCTTCTCTATGAACCGGCCCCAGAAAAAAAATCAAGCTTCGGCCGCGGCTGCTCTGTCGGCATCTTTGGCAGTCAGGGGCTTGCCATCAACATCTTTGGCAGCCAGGGAATTGGCATCCTCTTCTACCTGTGTCACATGATCCAGCATCGCTCTCGCCCTTGCTACAGGCAAGAATGTCGTGACAATCTCTTTCATGATCTGCTTACGTGGGCATCGTTGGCCTTGTCTGCCTGCACTTTCATCTGTGCAGCACGCAGCTCACGCGGCTCCAGCGGCCCATCATCCTGCCCACAAATTCGGTCTGCCGGTCAAACAGCGGAAGTACAACAGCTGTCAATGGGCAAGCTACGCGCGTAGGGCTTACATCATTTTACATCCTTTTTTACACCTTAGCGGCTTAAGCCCTGGCCTCGCCGTACCTGTCGTACGGCCGTGGCGGCGCCTGCTTGTTGACATCTACCGGCTTCTTGTTTTCCGGCAAAACCTTGCAACACGACATTGGCCGCAGATGGCAGCACATGGCAGCATATGGCAGCATTGACATCGTCCGCTTCGGAGGCTCAGGGACTGCTTAGGGGCCAGGCCAACTGCTGCTCTGCTTTGCCATCTGGGCCGACCGGTGGAGGCTTGCCATAGCCGGCGCGTGGAGGCAGCAACGGTCCTTCTGGTATCTGAAGTTCCTGGGCACCGGCACCGTGGCGCGAAAATCGCCTGATTCCGCACTTAACCTGCGTCTCCTGCTAGCGAGACCCTGCTGACGAGACACGGGCTTTGGTGGCACATCTTCATTTGCAATGATGAGATCTGCGACCTTGTCCTCTAAAGCCTTGAAGCTTGTCCTGACCACAGCCGGAAGAAACGATAGACACTAAGATGCTCCATGCCCAGCAGAGTTCAAGAGAACCACGAGCTCAAAAGGTCTCTCTCATATCAAGCAAGACACCGACCAAGCCCTGACACCTTCGGTTCAGATTATCCCAATTCTGTGCCTGGAAACGGTTCCCCAGAGGAAGTCACACGCGACGTTGGAACGCCCA